CAACCAGGAAATTAAGACAAAATACATCAGGAAAGTTTGTTGTCAGAGACTTCTCCAAAGTACGGAAGAGCAACAGTGTCAGTCCGGAGACTAAGGTGTGCCTGATACAGGCTATAGTCTTTGCAGTTACTTACTATGCATAAGAGAGCTGTACATGACTAGGGATGATAGAAAGAGAATTGATGCCTTTGAGCTGTGGTGCTGGAGAAGAGTATTCACTATAACATGGACTGCGAGGAGAATAAACAAGTTCGTCCTAGAGAGGGTGAGACCAGGCTGCTCCTTGGAGACAAGGATTCTGAAGTTCCATCTCTCATCCTTTGGACATGTTGCAAGGTGGGCTCAGTCCTTGGAGAGGTACATCATGCTTGGGAGGGTGGAGGGACAGTGTAGGAGAGGAAGACCCTCGGGGAGACGGATTAATTCAGCTGGTGTAATAGAGCAGGGTATAGGCTGTTGTGCATAGGGTTGCTGTGGTCGCAGGCGACTCAGTGCCACATAACAACAACATAAGAAAAACAACAAAAGGGTTGGCAGGTGAATCAGCCGATCCTCCGGAGATGGCTGAACATCTCCTCCTGTACAATCCCAGAAGCCTGAGGGAGGGTCACTGAGTCAGAACTGATTGGATGGTTAGAGTTTGCAGAGGGGAAATCTTTGTGGGAACAAACGGCCTCATTTTTCTCCTGAGGAGTGGTTAGTGGGTTTGAACTGACAGCCTTTCAGTTACAAGATTAATGCTTAACTACTTCACCACCTTATTATGGATTCAGTTACTCTGAACTCCAGATCTCTCTCTCTAGGATGGAAAAAGCCAACATGGGAGCACATTTGTTTAATTCTTTTTTTTTTGTTAGGCGCTGTCTAGTTGAGTATGACTCATAGTGACCCTAGGAAACAACAGATCTGAACCCTGTCCTGCCCTGGGCACCCTTCACATCTCTGACATACTGGAGCCCATTGCTGCAGTCACTGTGTCAGTCTATCTTGTTGAAAGTCTTCTCCTCTTTTGCTGCCCTCCTCCTTTCCAAGCATGATATCCCTCTCCAAGGAATAGCCTCCCCTAACAGCAGGCCCAAACTATGTGAGACAAAGCTTTACCAACCTCGCTTTCAAGTAGCACTCTGGCTGCACTTTTCCCAAGACATATCTGTTTGTTCTTTTGTCAGTCCAAGCGATATCCAGTATTCTTCTTCAACACCAGACTCGCAGGCAACAATTCTTCTGTCTTGATTCATTGTCCAGCTCTCAAATGCATAGCAAGTGATTGAAAAGACCATGGCCTGAATCAGGCACACCTTAGTCCTCAAACTAATTTCATTACTCCTCAATAATTTGGAGAGGTTCTTGACTACAGACTTTCCCAGTGCAGTACATCTCCTAATCTCTTTACTGCTGGTACCAAAGGTATTTATTGTGGATGCAAATAAGATGAAGTTGTTGACAGTTTCAGTCTTTTCTCCATCTATCATGATGTTACCCATTGAACCAGTCTTAAGGACCTTTGTTTTCTTGGTGTTGAGATGTAACCCATATTGAAAGCTGTCATTTATCGTCTGCAACAGGTGCTTCAGGTTCTCCTCACTTGCAGTAAGCAAGACTGTATCATCTGCATATCCTGAGGCCATGTTCTTTAATAGAGTCCTGCTTCATGAATTTGCTCAGCATACAGATGTGTTAGGTCTGGAAAAAGGGCACACACCCTTCTTGATTTTAAACCATGCACTGTTCCGTTCTTCTGTTAGGACATCAGTTTCTTGCTCTAGGAATAGATTTTGTATGCGTACAAGTCAGTGTTCTGGGATTTCCATTCTTCTCAATGTTAGCCATAATGTGTTGTGATCCACACAGCCAAACGTCCTTGCATAGTCAATAAAACACAGATAGATGTTCTTTTGGTATTCTTTGCGTTCTTCCAAGATCCATCTGACATTAATAGGGATATCCCTGGTCCTATAGCCTCTTTTAAATCCAGCTTGAACTCTGGCAGCTCCCTGTCAATGTACTGTTCCATCTGTTTTTGGATGGTCTTCAGCAGTATTTTGCTTGCGTGTGATATTGATTGGATTAGATAATTTCCACATTCTGTTGGATCACTTTTCTTGGGTATTCTTCCAGTCAGTCGGCCGAGCAACTGTCCTCTGAATTTCCTAGCATAGAGTGGTGAGGACATCGACTGTTGCATCTGTTAGTTGAAACATGTCAATAGATACCCCATCTGTTCCTGGGATCTTATGTTTGACCAATGTCTTCAACACAGCTTGAGCTTCTTAGTTTCCATTGGTGGTTCTTCATATGGTACTTCCTGAAATTTTCCATTGTCGACCAATTCTTTTTGGTACAAGGATTCTGTGCATTCCTTCCATCTTTTGATGTTGCTTGGATCATTCAAAATTTTGCCCATAGCGTCTCTCAGTAGTCTGGCTTGAGGCTTGAATCTGTTTTTCAGTTCTTTTAGCATTATAAATGCCTAGTGAGTTCTCCCCTTTTTATTTTTTGATTCTAGCTTTTTACTAATTTTGTTATAATACTTTGTCTTCTTTAGCTGCCCTTTGAAATATTCTATTTTATTTTTTTTTAAATAAATAGTCTTTTACTTCAGCATCTCTTCCCATTTGGGCTTCTCGATGTGCTAATGCAGTTTCTATACTTTCTTCTGACATCATTGTGGTTTTAAAATTCTCCTCTTTGTAATGACTTTTCATTCCACAGCTTCTCTGGTCTTCAATCACTGGTGATCAATGGCCCAAAATGATTGTTAAAATTTTTAAATTTAGATCGCATAAACTCAAGCTCATGTTTTGGTTTTTGTGGGTTTTTTTTTTAATTGTTGTGTACCATCAAATAGGATCTGACTGGCACTGATTACCCCTCCTTCTCCAGCAGAGCATCTGGTGGATTTGAACCCTGTGCCTTTGGGACTGCAGCACAGCTTCTTGCTACTAGGCCATCAGAGCTCCCTGTGAATTTGTTTTAATTATTTCCAATTTCAATTTGAACTTGTACATGCATAATTGGTGGGCTCATCCACAGTCAGCACCTGGCCTTCTGACTGCTGCTATTGAACTTCTCCAATGATTCTTTCCACAGTTGTAGTCAGTCTGATGCCTAAGGCAGTCACCAGGTGAGGTCAAGGTGTAAAGTCACTTTTTCTTCAAAGAGGTGCTTGTGGGGTGATGAAGGGGTGGGGTGCTGAGGAGGTGTTCAGGAGTTAGGCTTCTGCCGTTGGCCTTCTGTCCGCTCTGTGGCAGAGAGCACCTTCCCCGCAGGACATCAGTGGAAGCTAGAATAAGAACAATTCCTTCCACCTGAGCCAAGGCTCATCAGCTAGACAGAAATACCACCTCGGGAAGCAGTCTTCAGGAGAGTCTCGATGAGCTTGTACAGTCTCAACACATCACCCCCAACCAGTTCTTCCAGTTCTTTTTCAGTTTGATAAGTTTAGCATTGACTCAGGGAGTCAGGAACAAAGTCAAGTTCAGGGGCTCTTTAAATATGTATAGATTCTGTGATAATGTGTGGCCTTCTGTTTTGAGTTCAGAGAGGTGACAGAACTTATTAAAGTGGATAAAGTGAACATTGTAGCCTGTGATGATAAAAATACTGGTTCCAATACTGCAGCATGAATTGGGGAAAATGGCTTTTTTTATGCCGTCATCTGTTATTACTCATGGGTTTTTGAAGAGAAACTTAGACTTTTTTATTCTAGTGATCCAGAAATGACCCGATTGTGCTGTGCTGTTCAGAATTCCAGTACAAAGGACGTGCACTCTGTAGCTGCTTCTATTCGCTTACTATGCAGCATGAAGAAACCCAATTTTTAAAAAGAATGAATCAAAACTTGTTACTTTCCTATAAATATTTAATAAATGAATTTTAAAACATAGAAAAGAGCTAATTGCTATGAATAAATCATTGTATGTACAAAATACAGTCAGTAATACGCTCTCCAGCCTTGTTTCTGCCACCAAGTCTGGACTTTCTGACTGCCATTCCTTCCTTATTATCAACGTTTGCATTCTAGTCATCAGTAATTATTTAATGCATATTGATTGCATGTTTGATCGATTTTGGACTACAAGAATTGGTCATAATCCTCAGTTTCCTTCTCTTTGGCTTTCCTTGTTTGTTCATATATTTGAATAATAGTCGTGTTAATAGGTTTTCCTTGTATGCAGATGGATAATAGCCTGACACTCATGGTGTTATACTTTAGGATAGACTTTGAAATTGCTCTTTTAATTATGAATGCAACTCCATTCTCCCTCAGTTTTTCATTCCTGGCGTGGTGGATCCTGTGCTGTCCCTTTCACTTTGCTAATGCCTAGAACGTCGATCTTAATACAAAGTCCGAAAAACGAAAAACGTTTTGACCTTTTGTTTCAGGATGGGTTCATTTATCTTCTAATTACTGGGTTGTAAGTTCTCCATTTTGCTTAGTAACTGTTCTTTGGAGAATGAAGCTAACGTAGAATTGCCTCCACCCTACTTTTCTTCCTTTCAAAAACAAAAAAACCCCCAAACTTTATAAATTACTAGGGTCAAATAAACACTTCCTAAACCACATGCCTTTGGAGACTCCATGAACTTAGAGAAACGGTGATAGAGGAAGACTTAAAGTCTTTTCTTCATAGGGTCGCTATGAGTCTTCATCTACTTGATGGCAATCAACAACAACAATAAACAAGCGAAGAGCCCAGAGCTGCTGTCAGAGCTGTTTGCCCGTCACAGCCCCGCTTTAGGACGGAGGAGGATGGGGAGGACAGGAGAGTTTGCAACGCTGCTCGTTACAGCAGCCCACTGCTTTGTCTTTGCCTTGCGGAGGGGCTGGTGGGAGGGAACTGCCACCAAGCTCATCAGTGAACAGCCAGTGTTTAACCACTGCATCACCAGGCCTCTTCCTCTCCCCCACACATACTCAGTCTCAATTTACAGTTTAAAATTTAAGTTCTTTATCCTTGAGAAACTCATTGTGTTTTTCTTCTCTTTTATTCCCCCAGGATATCTTTGAAGATGCCTTGGAAACCATCCCTGTGTAAGTAAAAAGTCATACAAAGTATGTGGCAAAGAGAAGTTGGTGGCTCTTTTAGATCGCTTATTCCTTGCGGTCCACTTGGAACTGACTCATAGCTAAGCCAACCCTCCAGGGGGTTTTCAGAGGCTCAAAGTCACACGGGAGGATATTGCCCATCTTTCTCTCAAAAAGCAGCTACCAAAAGGTGTTCCGTCTCTTGTACAAAATATAAATATTTCATTCTTAATAATCTTTATAATAATCTGTACAAGTTGCCATGCTGTGGTCACTTGTAGTTGCTGTGAGGCTGGACACCGTGACACTGATGTGTCAAATGCATTAATGACTGGTTACCCAATGCGGACAGAGAGTGGGGTGGAGCTCTCCGATTAAAACAAGCTTGGAAGGAGGAGTGGCATCCACTTCTGTAATAGCTTGCCTCCGGAAACCCTATGAACCTGGAGAGAGGATGAAAGGCACCCAGGCCTCAAGGATTCTCCTTCATGGGGTCGCTATGAGTGGTCTGCGACTCGATGGCACTTAACAACAACAACAACAATAATCTTTAAGTACACTGGTTAGTCATGGGTGGGCCCTCTATCTTTGAATTGTCTGTTTTTAAAAAAATTTTACTCATTCATTGTTCCTCATTTTCTTCCCTCATCCTCTCTTTCTCCTGTCCACTTTGCAATGCATCTCGTTCTAGATTGTTGTCATACATATAACATTTAATCATTTGTTCCTTTCAGACCATTCTTCCCCTCATCTGTTTCATCGCTCATTATCTATCCAATATTCATTATCTGTCCACTCTTTTCTTGTTCTACCCCTAACCTGTCATGCCAGTCCTATTTTATAACAGCAACATTATGCAATATTTGTCCTTTTGTGACGGAAATATTTTATTCAGCATAATGTCCTCCAGGGCATACACCATGTTGTATAATAGTTTACGAGTTCCTTGTTTTTCAGTGCTGTGTAATATTTCATTTTGTGAATGTACCATAGTTTTTCTATCCATTTGTTTGTTGATGGGCACTTGGGTTACTTCCATCTTTT